GAATTCCGCGGCTAATTGTACGTTGGATTGCGCGTCGAATTGCGGGTTTAGAGCTGTGCGAATCGCGCTGTATGAAGCGCGTACGGCATTCATTCCGACGCGGAAGCGCGTTTTGAAGCGCGCATCGAATTATGCAACAAAGCGCGCGTTGAATCCCGCGGCTGATTGTACGTTGAATTGCATGTCTAATTGCGCGTTTAGAGCTATGCGAATCGCGCTGTATGAAGCGTGTACGGCATTCATTCCGACGCGGAAGCGCGTTTTGAAACGCGCATCAAATTATGCGCTAAAGCGCGCGTCGAATTCCGCGGCTAATTGTACATTGAATTGTGCATCGAATTGCGCATTTCTTCTAGTCAGCGGTCTAGATTCATCGTGCTGTATGAAGCGCGTACGGCATTCATATGAAGCGCGCATCGAATTATGCGCTAAAGTGCGCGTCGAATTCCGCGGCTAATTGTACGTTGAATTGCGCGTCGAATTGCGTGTTTAGAGCTGCGCGAAGCGCGCTGTATAAAGCGCGTACGGCATTCATTCCGACGCGGAAGCGCGTTTTGAAGCACGCATCGAATTGTGCAACAAAGCGCGCGTTGAATCCCGCGGCTGATTGTACGTTGAATTGCATGTCGAATTGCGCGTTTAGAGCTATGCGAATCGCGCTGTATGAAGCGTGTACGGCATTCATTCCGACGCGGAAGCGCGGAATAAGCGGAAACTCAATAGGAAGAGCAAAAAGCGCGAGCGTATTTCAAGGAGAATTACGAGAATGATCAAAGGTTACAAGCGGAAATTGTGCTGTATAAAGCGTGTACGGCAATCCTTCCGACGCGGACTTGAAATGCGTGTTCAGGTGCGAATTATGCGCTAAAGTGCGCGTCGAATTCCGCGGCTAATTGTACGTTGGATTGCGCGTCGAATTGCGGGTTTAGAGCTGTGCGAATCGCGCTGTATGAAGCGCGTACGGCATTCATTCCGACGCGGAAGCGCGTTTTGAAGCGCGCATCGAATTATGCAACAAAGCGCGCGTTGAATCCCGCGGCTGATTGTACGTTGAATTGCATGTCTAATTGCGCGTTTAGAGCTATGCGAATCGCGCTGTATGAAGCGTGTACGGCATTCATTCCGACGCGGAAGCGCGTTTTGAAACGCGCATCAAATTATGCGCTAAAGCGCGCGTCGAATTCCGCGGCTAATTGTACATTGAATTGTGCATCGAATTGCGCATTTCTTCTAGTCAGCGGTCTAGATTCATCGTGCTGTATGAAGCGCGTACGGCATTCATATGAAGCGCGCATCGAATTATGCGCTAAAGTGCGCGTCGAATTCCGCGGCTAATTGTACGTTGAATTGCGCGTCGAATTGCGTGTTTAGAGCTGCGCGAAGCGCGCTGTATAAAGCGCGTACGGCATTCATTCCGAC